CACACACACACACACACACACACACACACACACACACACACACACACTTTTAAATAATTAGGTGGCTCATGCCTTTAATACCAGCACTCGGGAGGCAGCCACAGCCGTATTTCTGTGAGTTTGAGGACAGCCTGATATACAAATTGAGTCCAGGACAGCCAGAGATTACTACACAGAGAACCCCTTTTTATAAAAACAACAACAATAATAATAATTAAAATAAAGCTTGAAAAAGTAAAAAATAAAAATCAACTACAACTTTCATTTCTATAGTTTCATGAATCTCTAAAATAGCTACAATAGTCTAGTCCTTTACTTCTCAGAGACTTGATGAGATGGTGTTTTATTGCCCAACGCTAACCCAGTCTGTCCCTTCAGTATTCTATACTCGGGGATGTTCTCAGAAAATACATAGAACTTTGTGTCTTCACAGACAAGGAAGCTTTGGAAAGAAAGCTTGGGAACGGTTCTGTCCAGAATCTTACTTGCTATTTCTGATGCTTCCTATGTCTACCACTGACCCAACTGCAGAACTATTGCTATGGGGCTACTGACATCCTCCTCCAAGTATGCTGTGCAAAGTTGCTCTAAGACTTAAAGCAAGCTGGCTGCACTCTCTGCTGTAGCTACTCATTGGCTCTGCACCCAGTCAATATGGCTTCTGATGTTGAGAACTATCCCTACTTCATCTTATTGCCAAACAAAATGTGCAGAGTCCCCGCCTCAGACACCTGATCTTTAAAATGCAGAACCGTTTGTAACAATTTTAACGCTAACTAAGTGCACTTTGATGAGACAGCGTTTAATAAAATGCTCATTAATTTCATCATTAGCAAGGGTATGCTCAGAAGTAAGCCAGTTTCTTATGTCACACCCAATTAGCATCCCATGCTAGTAATCCCATTAGTATTGTTGAATTCACTAATGGAAAAACTAATGGGCATGCTACCAGGGCACATTAATTGGGCACGACACCAGTTCTGGTTTTAATTATTAAACTACGGTAATGAAATGTGTGTTTGTAAAATATTAAAATGTTGAAATAGAGTTGAAGAAAATAAAGGAATATGTGGGGAAAAAAAAACAGAGAAAGGAAAAAAGTCTAGAACTTCAAGATAACTTTGAAAATGGTCTTGTGCCCATTGACCAGGTTGTCAGCATTAGTTGGGGTACCGCCCGTGAAAGAAGCAGCCACTTGTGCTTGTTGGAAATTAATATTCTTCTTCTTAACATTGGTAACATAAGATTCCACATACCATGTGTGCTGCCAAGTATATTATAAGACTCAACAATGACCAATTAAATGTATAGAATGGATATGTTCTTTCTTCAGGGAAATGGAAACAAAACTATTTCATGTAAGAAACTACAGTTAAAGCCTTGTGCTCCCCCATGTAATCCTGTTACATTAAAGAATTATTAGGGTTTTTCTTTTTCCTTTATGAAAAGCTGTTGACTGGAATTGTTAGAATTTGGTGGAACATTCTAGGTAATTTTCTTAAAAGGTATTTATTTGTATTTTGTGTGTATGGGTGTTTGCCTGCATGTGTCTGTATACCATGTGTGTGCAGTCCTGCAGCAGGCCAGAAGAGGGCCCTGAATCTCCCAGACCTGGAGAGCTACCATGTGGATGATGAGAATCCAACCCAGGTCCTCTGCAAGAGCAGCCAGTGCTCTTAACCTCTGAGCCATCTCTTCAGGCCCGATTCAAGATTATTTTTTAAAATACGTGCTGTTTAAACCAACCTTACTTGTAGTTTGTTAGAACTTGCATTAACTTCATATTTAATTTTTCTCAGGTAAATCAACCTCAGTATTAAATTTATCTTCCTTGGGTTTGGAGGGACCTGCTTTCTTAGTCACAATAGGAACTGTTGGCTAAGGGGGGGGGTGGAGTTTATTCTGTTTATTCTCATTTGCATAGTGGAACTGTGTTCACTTGGCTCTAACATGCTAGGCTATTTGTTCTTTTTCTTCTTTGCTTCCTTATCCTTCTTGCCTTTTTGTTAATCTTTCCTCTTGGTATGGCATTTATTGGGACTTATCTGCTAAGAACTCATTTGTCACTGTTATTACTATCCTATCAGAGGTATAAATGTTAGGTTTTTTAGACTATAAGCAATGAATACCAACTTTAACTACACATGTAAGTTCAGTAAATAATTATTCACTTTAACACATTGCATCTCCATCCCCTCTATGAGTACATGTTATAAAATTATTCATGAGGAGAAGCTAATTTTTCTGATGCTTGTTTATCCCTAGAATTAATATTCACAGTTTGTCTCAGTTTTAAATTCTTTTTTTCCTCTTATAATTTTTCCGTGAACAATAAAATATGAATATAGGTACCTAAAATGCAAGTGCCTTTGTAAGAGATTCTGGCCTGGGGAGTTCTTTGCAGATTTGCTCACTGCGGTTGTCAGATGCACAACACAGCACGTTCACAGCAATGACTAGACAGCAGCTGGTGGCTTGAGTTCCATCTCCAAGAACTTTGTGCTGGGATCCTCACCTGAAATCTGTGAACTGTTTAAAATATACAGTGCCAGTGGTATCTGAGTGTGAGCATTCATCTTTCCAGTCATTTGTTCATTCATTCGTTTGTTTATTCCTTCACTCCCTTAAGGGGTCACTAGTGGAAGTTACCACAAGTGATGATCACAGCAAACACTACAGTGATGGACAGTGGCATGAAATCATTGCCATCAGGCATCAGGCTTTTGGCCAAATTACTCTTGATGGGCACTATACAGGTAAGCTGTGTGTGTGTGTGTGTGTGAATGAGTGTGTGTGTTTGTGTGTGTGTGTGTGTGTGTGTACGTGAGAGAAAGGGAGAGAGAGAGAGAGAGAGCACTCATCTGTATGTCTGCACATGTGAATCTCACATAGATTTCTTCATTTGGTTTCACATTAGTCCCTGTGAGATCTGTCTCTTAGCTGGTCTTTGCCTTTCTGCTGGTAAACTCTGGCCACCAGCTTCTTATCCAGGTAGAACTCCAGTAAAGCAGAGATGGAAAGGAAGTCACCAGTGGCCACTTTGTGTCATGAGCATTCTCCACACCTTGCAGAGGCTTTCAATTACCCCACTGATGGTCCCCTTTGCCTCCAGAAGGCCAGCAAGGAGAGAGGGTATCTATATACAAAGATGAGAAAACCAAGGCACAGAAGCCTAGTTAACACTTTTCTGTTTCTGCCTACATACCCAGTGTTCGCATTTGAGTATGGTTTTCTGTCCAGCTGGCTCTGTCTTACATTTCCATCCATGGATGTAAGTTTTCAGGGTTCATTTAAGGTAGATTTTACTGAGCTCCCACTATGCTCTACTATTGTTTAGGTACTCAGATAGCAAAGAGTAAACAGAGCTTTATAGTAGTTTTGGTTTAGATGGAGGTGGGGACAGAAGATAATAAATAAAAGTATAAAGTGGGAGAGAGTTATCAGAATGTAAAAATCAGATAAATAGATATTATCTGTCTTTATAAGAATTCAAACTCAATAGAAATCTCAGAGAGATGGGAAAATTCAGCCTAATATCTCCTGTAAGGATGCTGAGGAGCATCTAGGTACAACCTGTGACAGTTACTAGCCCAGTCCCTGGAGCCTCATAGCTGATGGACATGGGGTCTTTGTCACAATTTAACACTTGATAAAAGTGTTGGGGAAGGACTTTCTAATAATATTTGAGCAGAGAAATGAGGGGCCAAGAAAGGAAAATATCTAGAAAAAAATATGTTTCCAGTCAAAAACACCCGTGCACATCAGACCAGGGTCGAGGAAACAGTGGACGAGAGGCCCCGGGATGTGAGAACTCCTTCTGTTACGTGTTACAGACTTGAGGAGGCCAGTGTGGTGGCAGAAAGGAAGGGGCTGCAGCCAAGATGTAGGCTTACAGCTGATGCCTATCTGGATCTAATAGACAAGGAGGTAAAGCAGAAGCAGGAGAGCTGGGGGCAAAGGATCTGTGGTGAGTTTCACTCTGAGGAGTCCCCTGTAATTCTTCTCTCCCCCAGGCTCCTCGACCTCTCTGAATGAGAGCACAGTGACAGGAGGCTACGCTGGACTCTTTGTGGGTGGACTGCCACCAGGGCACAGCATCCTCCAGAAGAGGCCTGGTGAGTTTCACAAGAAGTAGAAGTATATGTTGCCCTAGTTTCATTTCTGTTGCTGTGAGAAAAGTACCCCAGCAACAGAACTTTAAGAAAGAAAGGGCTTATTTAGCATGCAGTTCCATATTAGAGCCCATCACTGCAGAGAAGCCATGGCAGGAACCTGGTGATAGCATCCACAATCAAGAGCAGGCGAGTCCGTACCTGCTTACTATGCAGCTCACCTTCTCCACTCTGACACAGTCCAGGACCCAAACCCAGGGAATGGTGACGCCCACAGTGGGCATCCACACCTACCCATAGCCTCTGAGCACCAGGGCTGGCCACACCGTGCTGGGAGGAAAGTTAGCAAGGCCTTTTGAGTGGGTGGTGGGGATCTAACCCTGGGTCCTCATGCTCTGGGCGGCACTGTAGCCACCGAGCCCTCTCCCCAGCTTAACCCTAGCTGGGAACATGCTTAGCCCTTGTTTCACTCTAGGTTAATTCAAAAGGCAGTATTCTTGCTAATAGCATATGCTATTTTTTTTCATAAACCTGTTTCTGTGGATTCACTGTGGGTGAGCTAGAGCCAAACAGAGAGTTGCAAGCATTCCTGTGGCTACCAGGGTGACGTGCATGAATTGTGACTTTCGGGAACTTGGGGTGCAAACGCTTCAGGTTTCTTGCCTTTGAGTGTAAGATAAAATGGATTGCTGAAAAAGAATTTCCAAACAACTGAATTCTGTGTGTTCCCTGATGCCTGTCACATTTGCAGAGATAATCCGAAGAGGCTTTGTGGGCTGCCTCAAGGATGTGCACGTAACGCAGGGTTCTAGCTCCTCTGTGACTTGGAGACCTGTGGACCGGCAGAGCTCCGAGGAGCAGGTCAATGTGTACGACAGCTGGGAGGGCTGCCCTGCTGCCCCAGGACAAGGAGCTCGGTTTCTGGGAGCAGGTGAGGCGGAGCTGGTGGCTTAGCGTGAGTTAATTGACTGTCTATTGGAATCACAGAGTAACCGGGAGTGCCAAGACAAAAGGTTAACTTTGTTTGGTTTGGTTTTTAAACTAAATTAAATTATTTATTTATTCACTTTGCACCCCAGCGTAGCCACCACCCTCCTCTCCTCCAAGTCCCACCCTCCCTCCACTCTCCTCCCTCTACTCCTCAGAAAAGGGAAAGTCTCTCCACCAACAACAACCCACCTCAGCTCACCAAGCCACATGAGGACTGAGTTCATCCTCTTCCCCAGTGTCCTGGTGAGGGAGTCCCATCAGTGGGAAGTGATCAAAAAGCAGGCAGCAGAGTCCATGTCAGAGACAGTCTCTGCTCCCCTTACTAGTAGACCCACATGAAGCCTGAGCTGCCCATCCGGCCCATATATGTAGAGGACCTAGGTCTAGCCCATGCATGGTCCTTAGCTGTACTTGAGACTCTCCAGGCCCCTCTGGGCCCTGGTTAGTCGGCTCTGTTGGTCTTCTTGCAGTGCTCTTGTCACCTCTAGGTCCTTTTAGCCTTTCCCCCACTTTTCCACTAGACACCTTATACTCCTTCCAGGGTTTGGCTTTGAGTGACAGCATGTGTTTTGAACTGTTGCTGGGTGGAGCCTCTCAGAGGACAACTCTGATAGGCTCCTGTCTACAAGCACAGCAGAGTATCATTAATAATGTCAGGATTTCTGTGGGTGGGGGCATCTCTGTGATAAGCTGGAGACCCAATTCACAACAGGCCTCTGGGAGGATATGAGGGGTGCCATGGAGACTGATGATGACACCCTCTAATTAGACAAGACTCCTAGTGGAGTAAGGAGAACATCAACCCACCCACAGAAACTTCAATCCAAAACACACCCTGCTTGTGAGACCTGCAAGGAAAAAGATAGAACAGAGAGAGCAGAGATTGAGGCAACTAATGCCTGGCCTGACCCGAGACCCACCCCATGGAAAGGGTAGCTCGGGCTCTCAGTTTCTCCAGGTGTTAGTGCCAGCCCAGCCTTGTGGCTTCTGAGCCACAAGGAAGAATACATCCTGCTGGGATCTTGTGGCCTTCTGAAACCACTCGTTGATAATGAGCAGAAGAGAGGCCACACCCCCTTCTCACGCCTCCCCCCCCCCTTCTCCTGCCTCCCTGTTGCTCCTAAAGGTCTACCAACACATCCCACTTGTGAAAGATTTGAAGATGTTCAAGAGCCAAACTACATCAATGTATTTGTTAGACACATCCTGGTCTAATTTAGCCTCCTCCACCCAATTTACCTTAATGAGTTTATATTGCAGAAGTGTGTGCATTGAATCATACGTTTATTTTCAAAGTATGAATATAAAATAGAACTGCTAAGATTCATGGCACGTATTTACAGGTGACATCTCCGGCGAGCCCCAGAATTCTCGTTTGTATGTGAGTGTCACAGTTCCCATGTATAAATCAGGTGTCAGCATGCAGGTTACTGTGAAAAATGTTACCAGGAGGTTTTTATTGCTGAGTCAGCCCCCGCCCCCATTTCCCTTATTACATAGTTGAGCCATGTCTGTCTTTAGAGCTCAGCAGGGAGTTACACAGGCCTCTGAGGAGCAGCTGGTGAAGAGGGCCATCCGTGCACCATTGTAGAGGCTGAAGGAAACTGTGAGGCAGCTCCTGTCACTTCCTTCCCACCCATCTCTGTGTACGCCCCACCCCACAGGGCATGGCCCTGGCGTAGCTTGGCAGATGTGGACTTCCTCAATGGACACTCCCGTCAGCCTCCCATTTCCATGTAGGTTGGTCATAAGTTTGCTTACACTGTGTGTAGATCTGGACTGTAGTGATAAAGGCGGCACTCTGAGCTTGTCATCAATTCCTTGAGGGGCTAAGTGTCACGGAGGATGCCTGTGAGTGCGTGACTGAGAAAGTAATCTGTTTCCTCTTCAAAGGCTGATGAAGTTCACCTCGCACCCCCACTAGATAGCAGGAGAGGTGTAATGGTACTGATTTGTCTATTCTTTGGTGGGATTTTTACACAAAGGTAGTGCATTTCCCAGATGCTTGCCACACTGTTTCAGTGCCTGCAGTGTGCTGATGTGTGCATACACTCTTCGCTTTTAGGATTCCTGAAGATTCGGTCAGATGCGTTTCAGGCTGCAAAGGACTTTGAGATTTCCCTGAAGTTTCAGACTGACCAACTAAATGGATTGCTTCTTTTCATCCACAACAAAGATGGATCGGATTTTCTTGCTGTATGTTAATGAATTTAATTAAATTTATTTTAAAATATCAGGCCTAACTTTGAAAGAGATGAATTGTGTTTTAGCACTAGACACAATTGGGATTTTTAACATTTACTTTTTCCTTTCATGTTTTTCCTCAAGTAGTCTTTAGTTTTACAGACCTGGGAAATGACTTATAGGGTTAAGATAATTTTTTAAACTGGCAGTACTACAAATGTTGTGAATTGAATAAAACAGAGCAGATGTTAAAAATTAAGAGAATCCAATTTAGTTTCTTGATACATGAAAAATACCTCTTCATTATCTTTTGATATAGTTTCAAAATGGACTTTATATACTTCAACCAATGTCTGATAAAACACAGTATGATGTATGCTAATAAACAGAACATTCCATTTGAGGACTCAGTTATCATCCTGTGTGTCTTCTGCTTTCCCAGCTCTAACCATAGCTAACATGTAATTATAATTCTGTGTTTCTTGTTGGTAGGCATTTTAATTTGATTAACATTTATGAGCGAGTGTTATAGATTTTGAGATTTATGAAAATATTATGTACTGTATTTTAGGAATTTCTATTATTCACAGAGCTCTAGGTTATTCACATTTTTTCCTCGAGGCGGTCTATTTTCAGGGCTGTGTAATATGTCTCTCATCAGTAATGCCTTGGTTATTTCCACATTTCTGTCATGGTAGGTAGGATTAATATGAGCAGTTTGTAAATTTCCCTAAGCGCAGCGAGAAAGTATAACAGTTTTCCATTTACCTTTAATATTCACCCAGATGCTATTGTCAAAGTTGAGTGTAGCATTGATGAGACAGCACAGCAGTTCTGACTACTTTCTCCACATCACTGGCCTGTCCCAGCGATGTGTGTTTATGCCCTGCCTCTTCCAGCAGCATTTCTCTTGGTGTTTTCTGCACGTTTTAAACTCAGTGTCGCCTCTGGTGCGAGCCCCTGCTGGCACTCCAACCTCGTCGCCTGCTGTTTGTGTGGTGGAAGTACTGAACCCTCACCCATTTGCACACTAAAAATGTGTGAGATGAGAGCTGTCTATATCCACTGTGTTTGTGTCACTTTCAACAAATGCCTGACAGAACTAAAAGGAAAAGTTTGTGTTGGCTCGCTCTGCAGCCCTTGGCATGTTTTTAGAACATCGTGATGGCAGAAGCTACTCCAGAAGCTTCTGCTTAAGAAGGACAAGGCTTGGGGAGGGGTTGGGGGAAGAAAGGCAGGGACACAGGGTCCCCTCAGAAACACGCTCCCGTGACCACATGCTCCAGTCTGTGTATCCCAGACCGCCATCTCACAATAACTTATTCTTATTTTGTCAAGTGTATTTTTATGTATGTTCATGAGTGGTTCACTTGCACACATGTCTGAGCATCATATGTGTACAGGTGCTCACGGAGACAAAAAAAAGAGAGTGACAAATCCTCGGAACCTAGAGTAACTGATGCTTTTGTGCCACCACGTGGGTGCTAGGAATCAAATCCAGGCCCTCTGCGAAAGCAATAGAACCTCTCTTCGTTCTTTTAACCCACTGTGTTCAACCACGGCAGAGGTTAAACACACGATCAGCCCTGGAAATGGCTTTACCTACACACACAGGGGTGACTGCTTATCTCCAGGATGATGCAAAACAATCAAATTAGCAGTCACATAGCCTTGATTTTTCATGCTCAAAATTAACACACACACACATATACACACACTCATACACATACACACACCAGCAGAGTCTGCTGGATGGTCTCCTATACATATACCCTCAGTTTTAAATGAGAGACTTTGTTGAACACATAGCAAGTAAAGGTAAAATTGCGCAGACGGGCAGCCGAACAGACAGAGACAGATGGTACTACACCGTCAAATCATGTGCTCAAAACTTCTAGCAGAAATCACGTGGAGAAGCCCCATTAGGCCCATCAGCTAGCATTTCAGTGAGGTCTGAACGGAGGAAGATATCCTGTGGGCCGAGACTTCTAAGCGAGAGAACCAACAACAGTGGGAAGGTCAACTCATTAAAACAGTTGCTCACGACAGCCAGCAGAACCTGAGTGGGGATGCTGAGGCAGTCTGCTGGAGTTCCCAATTACACTCTTGCTGTGTGGGTGAGCTTCCCACAAGCAGCTTCTGGCTTCCTCTTTCCCACTGCAGGCTTCTTTCTATTATGGGATAAGCAATAGTAACCTCTGCTGGGGCTAGCTCATCTTCTAATGTTCAGAACAACACAGTGATGTCCCTCTTGGCCTCCTTTGCTGCCTTTTCCTTCTTGTCACAGAGTTGGGCAGCCCAGCCTGCCCCCCGACAAGGCTCACCTGTCTGCTGATGCTCTGAGACAGACATGTTTACATCAGAAATGGGGTGGGGCAACCGTGTTTCCCAGGCCAACATCTCAGCATATTTGAAGCCTCCTTGGTCTCACCTGAACTGTAACCTGTTTTTAAACCTAATGGCCTCTGTGATTGCATGTGCCTGCATGAAGGACCATCCATGCATCTTACATTACTCTGAATCTTGTGGTGTGTGTGTGTGTGTGTGTGTGTGTGTGTGTGTTGCAGTCAAGTATGGATGGGTGCTCACACATGTGGGTGTGAGCATGTATGTGGGTACACATGTGTATGTGTGCATATGGAGCCCCAAATTTGATGCTGAATTTCTTTGTAGGGTTACTCTCCACTGCATCTATTAAGGCAGGATCTCTTGTTGACTAAAGTTTGTGAATCCAGCTAGTCCAGATATCCAGATTTCTCTCAGGAGGCTCTGTCCTTGCCTCCCCTATGCTGGGATTGAGTGCTCTGCTGGAATCACAAAGGGCTGCATTCTACCTGGTGGGCGATCTAAGTCTGGTCGCCACGCTTGCTTGACGAGAGGTTTAACCATGGGGCTATGCCTTAGTGCCTCTAAATCTTTCCCAACTCTCAGGGAGCGAGTGAGTCATCTGCCCTCTGCCCCTGTGATATCCCATCACTCAGCTGCAGGAGTTTCCCAGATGCTCCTCTGCCATCAGTGGGATTTTAGGGAGCTGAAGGAAGGGTAATGTCTGCTGCGGACATATCATAAAGACATCGACAGAGAGGACATACCCTTTTCCCATCAAGGTTTAATTTATTTTATTTTACATGCTGATATTAGGCTTTCAAGTAGAATAGTAGCTGATTTCACACCTAAAACAAAATAAAAAATGGTGTGTAAAATAATTATCATGCAGCATTTTGAGGGAAAACATATGAATGTTCCCTCACACTGAAAATTTAGGTAAAATATGCTGACATTAGAAAATGGTGCATTAATCTAAAAGACTACACACAGAGGCAATTATGCTAGAGATTCAGAATAAAACTGAAACACCGAATCAAAATATATCTTACAAATTTGAAATTGAGTTCACTAACCATTTAAAACAAGCTTCATCAAGCTTGACATTTCATTTTCTTATTGTCTTGTCAAATTTTCCCCCAAATTAAATTGATACATGCAGTCATATTTTCTCATTTTCTAAGAACTCAAAAATGGAGTCATAGTTCACAGTGCTCTCTTCTTCAGTTTGCCAGCCGTTTATAGGAGGATTTAATCTGTTAACCACATTACACAAAAAGGTGGTGTCTTCATAATATCATGCTGTGGAGTGTAATCATGACTGGGTATGGATTTGTTTGACTCAATACAACATTCTTCATGGCAATTGTAAGCTTGTGAAATATCTCATTATCCATCGCTTCAGCTCTACTTAGGATAAAGTGGAACAGTTTATTGGGTGCTTTCGGGGAAGTGTCTTGCTTTTCCTTGGGAAATGGACCTTCTGCTCTTGTCTTAGCTGCCATCCTACTGCTTTTTCATGAGGCCTTTTGCTTCCTTGAATATGAAATACAGGTGGAGCTGAAGAGCGGGCTGCTGAGCTTCAGATTAAACTCCAGCCTTGTCTTTACACAAGTGGATGTCAGGCTGGGCCTGGCCTACTGCAGTGGAACGTGGAATTCAGTCATTATCCAAAAGGAAGGCTCTGGGGTATCACTTGTTGTGAATGAACTCGTGGAGCACACCTCACAGGCTACAGCCCACACTCTGCTGCTGAACTCACCTGTCTACCTGGGTGGGGTCCCCCAGGAGCTGCAGGACTCCTTCAGACACCTGGCTCTGGAGCAAGGTAAGCTCCCTTCAGAGCCATCCACCACCGACTATTTCTTAAGCAGATTTCTAATGTATTTTTATTGTTTTGTTATATTTTAAAGATTTGGTTTTATTTTATGTTTGTATCTTGCCTGAATATATGAGTGTATACCGCACGATATGCAGAGCCCTCAGAGGCCAGAAGAAGGTAGCAGATTCTCTGGAGCTGGGCTTACAGAACATTATATTACATGGGAGCTGAAAATCAAACCCAGGTCCTCTGCAAGAGCGGCCAGTGCTCCAAACTACTCAAGCAGCCCCAGATAGTCTTCTATGCTGTTCCTAAGAGCGTTTCAACACACCAGTTATAGTCAACATATTTATTCCAACATGTCTTCAACAAATAAAATTGTCACACACATAAATCAATTCTATATGTATTATATGCATGTTTTCTTTGAAAATACACATGGTTTAGGATTCTTGGATATTGATCATTATATGTGAAGGTAAAAAATACAAGTTTATATAGGTATAAATGAACATCTAGGAAAATGCTGCAATTAATTTCATACTTTTCAACTTCTGATGTCTAAATTCATTATTGCTGTGGCTTTTTAGTATAATTTTTGGGCAGAAAAATCACATGAAGTGGTGAGTTTAGTAGAATCCGAAATATATTTGTGAAAAATCAGACAGCTTTATCGATAACCATCAGAAAAAAAAAGAGTTAAACACTTAACCTAGCATTTAACCCATATACATTTGTATTTAACTAGAAAAAATGTTTAAAAGGCAGTTGGTCGTGTTGGCACCAGAAAGGCTGGGGCAGGAGGATGACAATTTTGGAGGCCTCCTGGACTGGACTATATAGTGAGATCCCTGGCCCAAAGACAGGAGGAGGCAGGCTAGCAATACCTGAGTAGTATTGCTGAGCACTCCTTGTGAGACAAAGTCAGTTCTTCACAAGGAGCCTATGAGTGAGGCACAATGACCTGGGAGCCCACCTGCCGGACAAGAAAGGTGAAGGATAGGGAAGACTGCCATTTGCTGGAGGTCACGTATTTAGAAAGCAGAGGGAAGAGAGTTAGCCTGTCACAAAGAGCAGTTTGGTCTCTCGTTACAGTGACGTATTCTTTCATCATGAGAACTTTCGGTGTCTTTAAAAACTCAGAAATGTAACGGGAATGTGCTTTTGTTTTAATCCCATGTGTAGGGATGTGGGGCTGCTTCAGATTGTCCACAGCAGCTGACTATGATTTGCCTTGTACTCTACCAGGGGCATGGCTTTGCCACTGCAGATAGTCTATGTTTGGAAATCTTGGGGGGAGGGGGCAGATCCTTCAGAGATTAAGTAATGCCAGACCCCAAGAGAGACAGCTGCATGTCCCCCTGCTGCTCCTTTCCCTGCTGTCCCTGCTCCTGCTGCGAATTGTTTGCCCATGCTGCCACTGGCCATTGCTGTTTGTTGCTGTTTACTGGATTGCTGGTTTCTGGGTGGTTTCTTGATGAGGAAGTTGAAATTTGCCCCGAGGAACCTGATACCCCTAGTCAACAGGAAGCAGCCCAACAATATTAACTCCTCTTTTCTCCTCTAACCTTCTTTCTTCCCTCCCAGTGTTCTGGGGTTGGAAGGGGTATGGTGTAGGAAGCTGAGAAAAAGAACCCAATAAAGTAGGGAAAAAACCCAGGTATAGTCTTTTGATTGGGGTTCGCTGTTGCTCCCCCTTGGGGAGTGATGGGGAAAGCATAGCGTCTTCCGGAGTGTGACCAAGCATGCCGTCACACAGAGAACGTTCTCTGCACACTTTTAAATCTGTGCACCGTGAATGGTTAAAATTTCCGTGGAATGGTCCTTGCCTATTTGGTAAGTACATAAAGATTTAAATGACTTTGGATAGAAAATATATGGAGCGCTGTAAGGAGACTTTGAGCTGAGTAGCAGTAAGGAGTTAATGAATAACCAGGATCTAAGACAGTAATGACATTTTCAAGGCACTTAAGATGTAGCAGCTGCTAAAAATATTACATTCATACAAGACTGTCTAGATTTCCAGGCTTTCCAGTATTAGAAAGAATCTGGCACTTCTCTGTGAGCGAGAATATTCCATCCTGTTTACGTGAGGCTGGGCAGTATTGGATAAAGCAACCTGCTTCTCCAGGCTTAGACTTTAGAATTATACCTAACCCTCTTACAATTGATGGCCTTGGAGACACGAATGAAACAGAATAGTGAGTTGATACTGAGAGAAATTGAAACCATCAACATAGATCCAAAAGGAACAATTTTACCTACACTAGATGAAAGTCTATGATACTAGCACTTTGTTGTTGTTTTTTTTTTGTTTGTTTGTTTTTTGTTTTTTTTTTTTTTATGTATGCCTGGACTAAAATTTCTTGATGTGTATTATCATGTCATGGTTCTGAACCACTGATAAGCAATTGAGGTCTAGTATGTTTGAATATAGTAAGATACTTAAATTAGGTTTCATCAGCAGCATCATCTTCTCAGGTTTACTAGATGAGATGAAATAATGATAAAAATTCTGGTTCTGAGACCCCCCCCACTCCATGTTTCAAGATTCTGACTTAGCTACTTTGAGACATGCTGGTCTATTTTACCTGGATATATACTCCCCTGAGAAAATATCCACCACATGGAGATCCAGCTTCCAGCAGCCACATGCAATTGAAATGAAGAGTGTTTGCTCAATGTGTCTCTTTCAATCCTCTCAATAGTCTCTCTCTCTCCCCTTCATCATTTTCTGTGCTTCCTAATTAGAGCCTCTTTCTCCCAAGCTCTATTTTGTGGTTATATTCACACTTTTCTTTTTTCTCTGGCCATCAATGTAATTATCCTTTGAATCAAATGTAAAATTAATTTTCCTCTTTGTTTTGCAAGTTCTGGGCAACTTAATTTGCTAAACATGTAACACCCCACAGGATTGTGGGAGTTAGTCTCCTCAGAAATACCACTTACAATAAGCACTGACAACAGCTGTAACTGGCCCAGGGCACATGACACCACAGTGTAAACTCTTCTTACAACCCCTGGAAGACAGGGAAGGGGCAAGCTAGAACCACCCTGTTTCTCTGATCCTTCCGCATAGACACTTGGGACATGTCCTAGATATTTAGACTATGGGTGATGGGGAAAAGGAGGAAAGGTGGAGGGGCTTCTGTTCTGTACAAAAGCAAGGGCAGTAAGAAAAAGTCTCCACTCCTTCCAAGAGATCCTTTCCCAGCTCTTTATTATCACACTCATCCAAGGTTTGAAGTGCCTTGGGTGTGTTTGGTGGCACAGAGCTGAAATAATGGAGTCATCTTTTCTGGGGAGTCTGTTGCAGATGAAGGAAACCACAGCGGGGCCCTGCGGGTGAGCTCAGCAGCTTCTGGGTGGCAGGTTAGGGCTCCTGGAAGTCTTTGGCTCCAGCAGCTGGTGCCTGCAAACCTCCTTCTTGCCCCTCTAGACTCCCTTTATTTGCAAAATGAAAGATGGTTACCAGACCTGTGGCCTTTCCTGACTTTAAAGATCTATGCACAGTGAATTGGTTTTCATGTCACTGGAGTTTTAGCTTCTGAAAACTTTAGTGAAACACAATGAGCATGAAACGTAGACTTAACCACCAGTGTTTGTTGTGTATGTATGTATGTATGTGCGCATGTATTTCTACGTTCACATTGCAAATGAATGTGCATGCCTTTGCCATACGGAGGCCAGAAGTCGACCTTTGGTGGTGCTCCTTGGATACTGTCCACCTGTTTGTTTGTTTGTTTGTTTGTTTATTCAGCCAGCCATTCATTTATTTGTTCATTTCTTTTGATATCAGGGTTCTTGACTTTCCTGAGCTTCTCTGGTTGGCTAGATTGCCTGGCCGGAAAACCCTAGAGATCTGCTGTCTGCACCTCCCCAACAATAGGATTACAAGTACTAACAAAAATGTTCAGCATTAAAAAAAAAAAGACCTTCTGATATAATTTTTTTATTCAATCCCTATAACATTTATACATGTACACAATATATTTTGATTATTTTTACTCCAACTCCTGCCCGCTAACACCTATGGAATCTACTCTTCACCTTTAATTTCTTGCCATCTTTTAATTTATATTTTATAACTTACTGAGTCCAATATGTGTAGCCTATTCAGGGGTGGGTGAGGTCGTGACTGGAGAATAGTCGGCCTACCAGGCCCTGTACTCCTAACAGAAACCGACTTCCATTCTCTAGTGGACATGAATAGTCAATAGCTGCTAAGCTAGGGGTGGAGGCATGGAAGCCCCTCCTTACTCCATTTTGGAATGTGTGCTAGCTTGATCTTGTTTGAGTCTTCAGGAGGCAAACATATTTGCTAGAGTTTATGCATACATCAGTCCTGTCCTGTCGAGAAAACCTTATTTTGCTATGGTCATCCTTGACCTCTGGCTCTTAACAATCGTACCACCGTCACTTCCGTGATGGTCCCTGAACCTGAGATAAGGAGTATGATATAGGGGTAGCACTTATAGCTGGGTCATCCAGCACCATTTTCTCTGAGTTTCTTACATTACTTATTTCACGGAGATGTTTCTCTGATGAGGTCTCAGAGCTGTACTAATCCATGGGCACAGAGTCATCAACTTAGAGGACAGTTTGATACCAAGTATTGTTTTAGAAAAGTAATAGCAGTAGCTGTGCCCTCTGGCCTGTGAGCTTCCCAGTCATGGGTTCTGGCTCAGACTAATACTATCAGGGATGCATTTCATCCTCTGGAGCTGGACTTAAATTCAACAATAAAACAATTGGTTGCTCCCATAACACTTCGTGACACCATTGTACCCATCAGCATATCTTTTCCAGTTTGTTGTTCTTATAGCTTGCAAAGTTCATAGCCTGGGGAGGCTGATGGTGAATATTCATCCCCTAGCAACCTGCATATCACTTTCAGTATTATGAAAGCTGGCCAGCAGGGAGGAAGCTTCCTGGCCAGAAGCATCTTGATTGCTACATGTGACCAAAGTCTGTGGTCTCTTCAGCAATAGGGTCTTACCATAAAG